ACACTTCCCAACTCGCCCAGCGACCTTCACAGCCGAGAGGCAGATCACGGGCAAGCACGAACGACCCCCAGGATTGACGAAGGTCATCATCTTCGTCCGCACCCCACGCTACTGTAGGAAGTCTGATCGACGAAGGGTATTCCCGACGACGACAGACCATGAATTCGTCATCAGAAAGGTCGTCGAGAGTGAAAAAGTATTTGAACACTTCTTCGGCTTGGTGATGAGGGATTGGCCGAAAAGCCAGCTGAGGGCCAAGCGATTCCTTGGGCGAGAAATCAGCAATCGTCGGCCGAAGAGGAGCAAAGTAGACCTGCAGCCAGAGTTGGAAGACCCAGAGGGGACCATTCTGCTGCGGGTCGACCTTATCTAGGGTCGTGTCAGCCAAGCAGCGTAGGAGATGGGCGAGAATGGCCGGGCTGAGTGCCAGAGTGTGACCACTAGCTAGGGCTTCGGCCACTGGCATATTCTAAACCAGACACTTGTTGGATTTGGTACAACAGATAAACTTGTTGTACCAATAGAAGAGGAAGGCCTCGTGCTCTCTTTCTCGCAGCGCCTCTTCTCCTCGGCCGGCAAAATGGAGGTAGAGGGTGTTATAGTTGAAGAAGTTCTTGTGAAGCTTGTGAACCTCTTCTTTTAGGGGTGTTTGGCCGTCAGTGCTTAGTGTCTCAAGGGCCCGTTTGTCGAAGAGCGTTCTCAAGTTAAGATTCGACGGGTACCCAGAAAGGGCAGAGTTGACTGGGATTCAGGTCGGGGAAGTCCCCAGGATGGCAGTAAGATTGAGGATCGTGGGACCAATGGGGCCGAGAGGGAGGACCATGGTGTTAGTGGCCGAACACCAAAAGCATAAAACCTCTAGGAGGAGCTTCTTGTCCAAAATGATCTTCATAGATGAAAGGCGAATGACATCGTAGATGCCTAGGGCTTTCCATTGCTTGCCAAAGATTTTTTCCATTCGAACAACCCAGGCTACCCAGGTTGTAGTAGTCGAGGGCCAAGAACCTTGGGGCCTCGCTACCTCCCACTTCGACCAGTCGAACCCTTGTAGCAAGGGTGATAAGCAATGCTCCTGGAGAAGTGCAGTAATGGTCGATGGTACCGTCGCCTTAAAAAGAGGACCCAAGATTTGATGAGGGGTGCTCATGTCGCTCTCAAATCGGATGGTCTTGATTGAACTCCGATCGATGATCTTCTGGCATTGGTCACACTCCTTGGAAAGCTTAGAGATAAAGAAGGCCATGATGAATGGTTTGAAGGAATGACAAGAAAAGAACTTTATGAGTTAAAGGTTGAAGACGAAAATTTGGAAGGAAAATATGCACTGGAGAGCAATGGCAAGAAATTCATAAAATTGGAAAACGTAGAAGTACAAATGAAAGGATTTCGGTATCTATAGGACGATGGAGGGAAGGGCAATCGTTCGAAATTCAAAATGAAGGGTAAAATCGACCGAGAAATTCGCTAATCATTATGAACATTCAGAAGATCCAGTTGAGAAGACCAAGGGTTTCGTATTTCGGGAGACGTACGATTACGTGTGGCGGCGAGATTTATGGTGAAAGACGGTTTGGCGTCTGCACGATGCTGAATGGTTCGCAGATCGAGGCGGCATGGTGGTGTTCAGCAATAAAGCCATGATGATATGACGGTTCAGGCGGTTCAGGGAGCCGCACGCTTCAAACGTCATTATTAAGGACTAGCCCTATAAAAGAATGCCACGTAGTGTGGTGGTTAGCAGGATCAAGATCGTGCAATCGTGCTCAATAAATGCACCTCGGGAATAAGAGCATTTGAGTTTTGAGTTTTAATTTCGCTTCTTCAAGGCCGGAGCTCGACCAGAGGGTTCAGGCCGAGGACTTCTGAAGCGAAGGGGCAATGTTTGGGCCCAAAATATTAGTTTGGGCCGAGTATAGAATCATTCTCGGCCCAGGAGGCCTTACAACAAGGATATCATGGATCGTGGGCCTCCAAACCTAAGACGGCTAGGTCATAACGCAGGACAAATCGAGTCCTGGTGCAATAAGGAGTCTTGGTAGGATTAATAACCCGAAAGTGAATCCGGCTCGATTAAGGACTAGGTTCACAATCATAGAGAAAATAGGACTGGTTGAGTTGGCATTTGATCAGGAGAAGAAGACCTACTCCGAATAGGGTTTTGACTCGACTTTGAAGGTGTCCAGTGCTATAAATAGAGGAGGCTGTGCAATAAATGAGGTCTCCAATTCAACACACAAAACTGCCCTGCGCAAACCCTCTCAATAACTTTGAGATTTTTATTTTCTCTTTTCGCTGACACATCTTCCGTTGGCATCAACAACACTGTGAAAGCAACCGGTGATATCTTAAGTCGGCATAGATAGCTTTGTTACCGTAGAATCAGCCGGTCTCGCAGCATCTTCCGTTGGCACCAACAACACTACGGTGAGGACAGTTGATTACCTATCCAAATCTCGGTCGAGAAGGATTTCTGAATCCTTATTGGTCGAGGTCATCTCATCAGCCTTCTCGGCGAAGTGAGGTGTTACGAGTTACTACATTCGGCACATTGGAAGCTGAATTGGATATTGAACTTCGTAAGAATAGTAGCCTTGTCTTTAGGTTCGAGAACTCAAGAGGCCGAGACGTGTTCCTTCCTTGGTCACAATCGCAAGACGCAGAAGTCAACCGCGCACCCAACGCAACATCAATGAATTTTACTCCTCGGCCGAGCTCGACCGACGAGTTGGCACGCCCCGCATTCACCGAAGGACGTAGTTAGCTTATAAATTACTCGGCCTGCGCGCCACGTAGGCTTGGTAGTGTTTAGGGTCAACAGATACAAAATAAATGTGTCCTACTTGAATTTAAAAAAGAAAAAACTAATGAAAAATGTTCGAAAATTCTTTGAGTTTTAATGATAAGGACAAAATAAATGGTGAAGTGAATAGTACCATGATTGACTTTTTAGTGTAAAAATATGGTTTTTCGTTAAAATAAACAGCACCGGGAGCTTTTCGTTAAAGTTTCCTTTAAAAAAACCTATTATACGATTATGCGTCAAACTTTGCAAACTATTAAAGTAATAAGTTGTAGATTTGATTAATTTATTACTTCTAAATGACTATAAGAAACCAATGATCCTCCCTTCTTCAACAACCAATATCCTCTACAATTAATCAGCATTTGATACCTTTTTAACAACCAATTGCATTAGTAGATTAAATTATTAGTTATTAGAAGAAAATAAATAAATAAAGATCAAACTCAAACTGCGGTGCATAATCATAATTATTTTTCATTACTTGGGTAAGGCAGGGATTAAGCCAACAAAACTTCACATGTCGTATTTTTCAAATGGGCCATATAATTTTGTGCTCGGTGTGATTACAAATTTTATTAGATGTCCCCGTAGGGACATTTTGTCACATCCCAGCCCGGGCGGGATTATTTTTTGGGCTCAACTTCGTTGTAGCACGATATTGTCCGCTTTGGGCCCTGACCACGTCCTCGCGGTTTTGTTTCTGGGAACTCACGAGCAACTTCCTAGTGGGTCACCTATTATGGGATTGCTCTCGCGCAAACTTGCTTAACTTCGGAGTTCCGATGGAGCCAGTGAGCTCCCAAAAGACCTCATGCTAGGTAGGGATGAGAATATACATTTAAGGATCACTCCCCTAGGCAATGTGAGATGTTACAATCCCCCCTTTTAGGGGCCCGACGATCTCGTCGGCACACCACGGCCAGGGTTAGGCTCTGATACCATTTGTCACATCCTAGCCCGAGCGGGACCACTTCCGGGCTCAACTCTCCTGTAGCACGATATTGTGCGCCTTGGGCTCTGACCACGCCCTCACGGTTTTGTTTCTGGGAACTCACGAGCAACTTGCTCTCGCGCGAACTCGCTTAACTTCAGAGTTCCGATGGAACCTGAAGCCAGTGAGCTCCCAAAAGGCCTCGTGTTAGGTACAAATGAAAATATACATTTAAAGATCACTCATCTGAGCGATGTGGAATGTTACACATTTAATTAAGTGTTTTAAAAAGTTAATTTTCTCCATACAGATTGTAAATTGTGGAACATATGCAGATATCAGTCTCTAATTTATTTAAAAAGGTTTTGAATAAAATGATTACATGGATGTATGTTTTGAATTTTCTCCTTAGGGACTTTTTTTTCTTTTTCACTTTCTCATACACTTCATTTTATTTTAATTAAAATAACGAACATGATTAAACAGGATGTATGTGCTAGTGGTGTGTGTTTATCATTTCCGTATCCGCAAAAGAATATTATGTCTCAAAATCACGGATATTGTATTTTTCTCAGGCACTATTATAGCAACGAAGCCTCTTAAGATAAAAATGTACAAGTGAACTACATTACAAAATTTGTGAACCTAATTAGGTGAGATTAGGTTCACCTAATTAATTAAACTACATTACAAAAGTAGACACATTTTTTACATCAATAGTTCAAAGTTCATTGAGCCTAACCTCGCCTGGTTAATTAAACCACATTACAAAAGTAGACACCAATCAAGCTTTCCTATTGGATAACAAGTTGAGGACTCAGTGCGCTAATGCCAGATAGCTGCAGAAAAGCACAAGCCCGAAAAACACAATATGTGCCCCGGCCACACATTCATAATTCAAACTACTGAGTTCGTTACGGTATTTCCTGTGATACCCCAATCACCCAATAAATTGGTATTTCTAAATGAGTCATTAAAGGCATAACGAAAATATCCTATCTCCACATAGGATCAAGAACATGATCAAAAGGATCAAAAACGGCTAATTCGTATAGAGCCATCAAACCGGGAAGTGATTACTGAATTTTCCACATAAAAAGAGTGCGAAACTATTTCCCAATTTATTATTATGAAATTTTAAAGATACCAATAGAATTCACAGATAATGTTTCTATGATAGCATAGAATTTGGTCGAGTAATAACTAATGAAAATTTCTCAGTTGAGTAATAGTTAATGAAAATTTCTAATTGCAAACACAAATTTCTTAAATTTAATTAAACCTAATAAATTCATTGAATTTCTAAGGCTTTCTTTTACATTGTTTGAACAAATCTTCAACAAAAAATCAACACAAAGTGGAAAGATAGAACTAAACAGTGGTCGGAAAAAACTGAACAAAAGACTATCAAATTACACGCTACGAAACAAATAGTAATTAACAAGGAATCTTAGATGTGAACCACTTCATGATCGAAAAGGGAAGCTTGATCAAGGCCAGAGCAAACTCAACTATGATCGTCACGCACAAGCAGCACGGACATATGCAAGTCAACGCCAACCCGACGATCCAGATGACGACACCGATGACGGAGAGGATGAGAGCGACGAAGGCGAAGGGCAGGCCGAGGAGAAACCCTAGCGGCCTGCATTCGCAATCGTCTCCGCAGCAGCAGCTCATTGATTGTTTTTGTGCTGTTCTTGTTTCTCTTCTACTTCTTTAGAGTTGGTAGGTTGTAGAAGGCGATACGGGAAGGCAACTTCGTTTGGTTTGTTGTCGATTGTGGGAAACGATATGACTAAGGAATAGGTATTTGCGGTATATATGTAATACTATTTGACGGAGTTAAACAAGGACTTGTATTCTGCTGCCGCCCTTACACCCTAATCCACAAAGAATTCCTATATATTTTCGGAAACGTCCGTCGCTTGTAGCCCATCCTGGTCGTTTATTTTTATGGAATTTATAGTAACAACGGTTACGATCAGCTCCTCCACACGATTTGTTTATCTTGTATGTATTTTTTTTATTTCATTAAGATATTACAATAAGGGCATAGAAATAAGAAGTAAATTGGATTTGATTACGTATTTTAAGAGGAAGTTAACTTCTTTACATGCAAGTAAACACATGAAAAAAATATAAAAAGTGAACTGAAACGTGTGAAATGTAAGAATTAAGGGTTCGTTCACTTATCAGTAGTTCGGGAATAAAGAGTCGGATAATTTCGAAATAGACAAAAATGTAAGGAAAGGGAATTGGATTGACACATCTCTCTAGTTAAACAAATTTATGAAATTGTGTTATTCTATTACGGATTTTAGTTAATCTCGCTACGAGTTCTGTGCAAATAAATGCAAAAAAAGTCCTAAAGAGAACATATTCTCTCTCTTTTCATTTTCATTACTGATAGTAAACGAGCTCTAAATAATTTCGATTCTCATTCGTTTTAAGTAATCATATCCTAACTTGGAGAAAACAAACTTGAGTTCATGGAGTATAACCCATTGTTTTACTTACTTTGACCAAACTCGGGTGCCCAAAAAGAAACAAGACGTTGGAAACTGTAATTTTTTTCGTTTTATATGCAGAGAAATTTGGAAGAGAAAAAAAAGCATCTTTGTGATATGCGAAACAAACCAATAATACATTCCCAGGTCAATCTCCTACTTTCCTTGACCAACGAGCCTCCTTTTCCGACTCCTACCTCCACTTGGACTTGCATTTTATTTTGCAAATATAATCATTCAAAGAATCCAATACCTGTTTTAACATTTTTCGGCTGTATTAAAGCTTTTTTTTTTTTTTTTAAATTTTTTTTTTTAATTCAAGCGATATTAGGATGAGGAAACTCAGAGCTTTGCGTGGAAAGATATTAGCGTCTAGAAGAATTTTCAAAATAGCTGAAAACACCTTTGGTAAAAATATTTTTAGTACCAATTCTTAAAAATGCAAGTGAATTCTGAAAAGAGTGTTTTCCCAAAAAACATATAATTGGTGTTTCTTGCAATTGCAAGAAGCGTTTTAAGTGTTTTAAAATCCAAAAATATTTTCTTTAAAAACTCTTTCAATCATTTTAAAAACACTTTTAAATGATTCCATGAATTGACATTTTGATGGTCACCACAGAGCCGATAATGTACAAATACAATTAGGTGAATATTTAATTATTGATCAGCAAATCATTCTGTGGTTTAGCTTTGAGAGTGAAAAAACTTGAATTACTGACTGCTAACTATTGCTTTGAGCGTGAAAAAATATTCCCCTTCCACAGAAAATTACCTCTGAACATGGTTATGGCTTGTCCAATTGAGCAACATTCTATTCTCCCCTGAAAACCCGAGCAGTCCGCTTGCGTGAGCTCAATGAGACACCGGCTGAGTTAACACCCGTTAATTTGCTTGCCAGGTTCAAAACTGAGCTAGGAGGCTTATCTTCAGCCTCCCTACAGCTTCAACATCGCCCGCTCTCTTTAGTCTTTGCAGTGAACTTGTCTTCAACCATATGAAAGCTCATCAACCACTATCAGTACCAATCCAGCTACAGGCGGTGTCTTTAGATATCCCGCTTGACTTCATTTTCTCTCTAAGCTCAATTACACTTTCCCATTTCCCAGCGGCTGCTAAAGTATTCGAGAATGCAACATATGCCCCAGGCCGACCATCAGGATTCAACTTAAAAAGTTCCTTGGCAGCTATATTTGCCATCTCAACATCACCATGTAATGTGCTTGAACTAAGAAGAGCAGCCCAAACATCGGAATTGGGCTTCTTGGGCATCCCCATTGCAAACTCCCACGCTTGACGTAAACTCCCTGCACGTCCCAAGAGATCAACCATGCAAGCATAATGCTCCATCCTTGGTTTCAATGAGTAGTCCCTATCCATGCTTTCAAAGATCTCAAGGCCTTTGTCAACTAGCCCAGCATGTCCGCAAGCTGATAGCGCACTGAGGAATGTGACAAAATTGGGTTCAATTTGGTGTTTCCTTTGCATTATACTAAAGAACTCAAGTGCTTCATCAGGATATCCGTTCTTCCCATAACCATCGATCATTGAAGTCCATGAAAACACATTTTTTTGGGGCATGTGGTCAAAAATTCTCCGAGCATCCTCAACTCTTCCGCATTTTGAGTACATGTCAATAAGAGCACTTCCCATCTTTACGTCCAAAAACAATCCAGTCTTCATAAGATGACTTTGGACTTGTTGGCCAACTTCAAACGATGCCAACACCGAGCAAGCTCCAATAACACTAGCAAAGGTAGAGAGATTAGGTTGGAAATTCAACCGTTGCATGTCAATGTAAACGTCAAGTGATCTCCTAGCATACTCAACCGATTTGCTGTAACCTTCAATCATTGCGTTAAATACCACCACATCTTTTTCAACAGTTTTCCTGAATATATCTTCAGCATCCTCCACAGAGCCTTGATTCATGTACCCAGAAATCATCGATGTAGAACATATAACATTCTTTTCCAACATCATATCAAACACAGTCCTCGCATAACGGACCTTCCCATTCTTAACGTATGAGTCGACGAGTGCTGTATAAAGTACCTCATCAGGCGCAACATCTGTTCTTATCATCTGGCCATGCACTACTCTTCCTAAATTACGCGGCAATGCAACATCACCAGCACAAGTAGAGGCTCTCAAGATCATCGAAAACGTATACCCATCAAGCTTCTCACCAGATAAAACCAGTCCCCGAACCAAGTTAAGCGATTCTTCTACCTTCCCACGTTTGAGGTATCCGCCGATCAAGTAATTATAAGCGGAAAGAGTCTGTGCAGGCAATTCATCAAACACTTGGCGTGCATAAGCCAACGAACCACATTTGAGGTGGAGTATAAGGAGTTTGATGGAAATATTGACATTGGGTCGGAACCCGGATTTGAGAATCCGGGTATGGATCTTTCGGCCATGCGAAGGGTTATCTGAATTGATGAAGTGTTGCAGAGCAGATGATAGACTGGTGGCGATTGTTTGGGAGACGGAGCTTCGTGGTGGCGGTAAATTTTGATTTGGCTGGGGAGGCATTTTTTGGTGATCGACGGTCTGGTTGTTGGTACTTTTCCATTTTTTCATTTGCACCGTTGGATCTCGTTATCTAATTTGGGTTTTGTTTGGGGCCCAAAGTTCGATGGCAGAAGGTTGAGCTCAACTCTTGCACTAGGCCCAAGAGTGGTGGCCCATAGGCCCATCAACTTCAAAGGGTGCATGCCATTTGTCACATATGTACACGCATATGTGATTTCAAATATCAAAAAAGAACAAATCACAAATATAGACATAGATAAATAGACGTGCGCAGAAAAAAGAAAGTATGCTAAACTCAAATTTTCAAATAAACAGTATTTAGTCTTTAGGCTCGTTTGAAAGTGTTTTTCAACGCTCAAATTGTGTCCATCGATTTCATGTTGTCCTACAAATAGTAAAAGCTGACCTCCCTTTGTATTAGATTTGGTATTCGTTAGTTTGACCGTTCTACAAATTGAGCTGAGGAAAATGGAGGAGGACAATAAGACAAAAAGCAATGTGTGAGAGGAGGGAATGGAAGATGATGAGAATATGAGAGGAGAAAATCCTACTCTAAATATGTGGGCTTATTTCAAAGTGCAGAGAATGAGATGAGTTGTCAGATAATGATTCATGCAAGTAAAGTTGCCGCTGTCACCCAATGTATCAAGGCTCAAAGCTTAGTTCCAGATTTGGTGTTCATTGCTCTGAGCGGGACAAAAAAAAATATAGGCTGATGAAGTAGTACGATGACTTGCTCTGATGTGTACTTCTTGCTTAATAAGCTAATCCTCTAACTGAAAAGGCTCAAAGCTAATCCCTTTCACTAAAAGTGATTACAGCCGTTGAGTTGGTTTAGTATTGTAGAGAATGAATTTCACGCTGATGGAACGAGGGACATTTCATGGGCTTATAAGTAAGTTGGACTACTCCTTATATTGTTAATTAGTTTTATGGTGGAACCTCAGCTTTCTTCATGGTATCAAAGAAGGTTGTCCCATGTGTGAAGTCAAACGGTCACACGCGCTCCACATCATTCCATTTGTATTGTCTATGTGTTGTAAAGATATCAATAGGTATAGAGGAGATGTATTCTTGCAGAAGAAGAAATGAATATTCAGAGAGAGAAATAGAATTTTAGACAGAGAAGATATTTTATTTTTCATATTAATATTTCATCATCTTACAATGATAGTTATATAGTATATAGCTAACTAGATTGCTTACTTTCTAAGCTATTACAATGATTACAAGATGACTACACTTGTCACTATTACAACCACATGATCACAAGCTGTTATGCTTGCTTTATATACTGTTATCATCCCCCCTCAATCACAGGAGGAGGTTTGCTCAACCTGAGATTGGAACAGTGGGTCTGAAACAATGGAGTAGACAATCCCTTGGTGAGAATATCGGCAAATTGTTCATTTGAAGAAACAAACTGAAGTTGAAGCAGCTTCTTGGCAACCCGTTCTCGAACAAAATGGATGTCTACCTCAATGTGCTTTGTCCTTTGGTGCATAACTGGATTATAAGCCAAGGCTATAGCAGACAGATTGTCACAAAATAAAGTGACAGGACATGAAACATCAATCCGAAGAAACTGCAAAAGTTGCTTGATCCAGTCAATCTCTGCAGTAGTGGATGAAAGTGCTCGGTATTCAGCTTCAGTGGAGGATTTAGAAACTGTATTTTGTTTCTTGGAAGACCAAGAAATGGGACTAGACCCCAAATAGACCACCAAACCTGTAGTTGACCGTCGGTCATTAGGATCCCCAGCCCAGTCAGCATCACTGAAGGCATGTAAACATAAATCTCCTTTGCTGAAGTGAACACCATAATCCATCGTGCCTTTCAAATATCTAAGGATTCTCTTCACAGCAAGAAAATGAGACTCCATGGGACAATGCATGAACTGACATACCTGATGCACGGAGAAAGCAATGTCGGGTCTTGTAAATGTAAGATATTGCAAAGCCCCCACCACACTGCGATACAATGCTGGATTGTGAAAGGGTGTCCCATCATCTTTAAGGAACCTGGTAAACGGCAGACAAGGGGTATGACACGGTTTGGAAAGACTCATATCAGTCTTATGAAGCAAATCAGTAATATACTTAGCCTGGGAGAGAAATAATCCAGTGGAATGATAAGTAATTTGGATGCCTAAGAAGTAATGAAGGAGTCCCAAATCCTTAATATCAAATTCCTGAGCTAAAGCCTGGATAACATCAGTAATAGCTGCAGTAGCACTTCCTGTGATGATTATATCATCCACATAGAGCAAGAGAATGACCACAGAGTTGCCAACATGTTTCACAAATAATGAGGAGTCTGAAAATGTTGTAAGAAAACCCAAAGAAGGCAAAAAATTGGTAAACCTCTCATTCCAAGCCCTTGGGGCTTGTTTTAAGCCATATAGAGACTTATGTAACCGACAAACATGAGAGGACTGCTGAGAGTCAACAAAACCCGGAGGTTGAGACATATAGACCTCTTCTTGTAAAATGCCATGAAGAAAAGCATTCTTCACATCGAGTTGCCTTAAAGACCAACCAAATTGTGCAGCTAAAGCCAAAACTAACCTCACAGTTGTAGGTTTAACAACTGGACTAAAGGTCTCCCCATAGTCAAGACCCTCTTCTTGATTGAAGCCTTTGGCAACAAGGCGTGCCTTATATCGAGAAATGTTCCCATCTGCATCTCTTTTAATCTTGAAGACCCACTTACACCCAACCAAATTCTTGTTTGAAGGAAGAGGAACTAATGACCAAGTTCCTTGAGAATGCAAAGCAGAGAGCTCTTCTTTCATAGCTGCACACCATACTGAGGATGAAAGGGCAGACTTATATGTTGAGGGTTCCACCTGAGTTAAATCAATTGGAATATCAGCTCCAATTTTAGAGAGAAAAGCTTTAGGCTTGAAGATACCATTTTTGGATCTTGTCTGCATGGCATGTGTATTCATAGGTGGAATAGAAGAAACCACTTGCAAACTCTCAGGTTGAAACTCTGAAGAAAGCTCAGTGTGATCATGAGGATTGGATCCAGGGGACAGGACTGCAGCCACAGGGGAAGAATGAAGCACAGACTGTATGGACGGTGCAGTAATGGATTCAGCATGTGTTGGGGTAGAAATGGACTCAAGTGTAGGTGAAATAGATGTAGATGCTATGGAGACAACCTGGTTATCATGTGTGACAGAAGGCAGAGAAATAGAAGGTGACAAAAGAGGAGTAAAGAATGATGAAGGTAAGGTTTTGGAAGACAACATGGCATAAGGAAATTCACCCTCATCAAAAATAACATGCCTAGATATGTACATTTTTTGATGTCTCACTTCATAACATAAGTAGCCTTTGTATCTGGAAGCATAACCTAAAAAGACACATTTTGTTGTTTTAGGCTGTAACTTGTTGGAATTGTAAGGTTTTAAGAGTGGGAAACAAGAACATCCAAAAACCCGAAGATGATTGATAGCTGGGACATCTTTAAACAACAACTCAAATGGAGATTTGTTGTGTAAAACAGGTGTTGGCATTCTGTTAATAAGGTAGACAGCAACTTGGCATGCAAAAGACCAGAATTTTGGAGGCAAGGAAGCAGTTTGTAAAAGGGTGATAGCTGTGTCAACAATATGTCTATGCTTTCTTTCAGCTAGACCATTTTGTTCAGGGGTGTATGGACAGGACAATTGGTGTTTAATACCTTTGGATGCAAGAAATTGTTGAAATGACTTGCTAATATATTCACCTCCCCCATCACTTTGTAAAGTTTTAACAGAAATAGCAAAGTGATTGAACACAAAATTGTAAAAGGCAATGAAAGTTGAACAAACATCACTTTTATTGATGAGAGGAAATATCCAACAATGTCTAGTGCATTCATCAATGAATGTCACATAGTATCTAAAACCCTCTACAGAGTTACAAGGAGAAGGACCCCATACATCACTATGAACAGTATCAAAAGGATGCAGGGACTGAGAGACAGAATCAACAAATGGCAATTTACAAAATTTCCCTTCTAGACAAGAGTGACACATCACAGACTTACTATCAGATATATCAGATACATTGCATTTGCGTAATATGGCAGATACTATAGAATTGGATGGGTGTCCTAATCTACTATGCCAAAGACTCGAAGACACATGTTGTCCAAGGAAAGCAGCGTGTACGTTGGGTAAGGAAGAACGGTATGAAACTGGTAGAGGAATAGGATATAGTCCATTACTGCAATGTCCCATGAAGATGATCCTCCCTGTGGCTTTGTCCTGGATCCAAAAACAGAAAGCATCATAGATTAACCAGCAGTTATTATCCAGACACAATTTATGCACAGATAACAAATTCTGATAGAGTTGAGGAACATATAAGACTGAATTAAGATGCAGGGGTTTGAAAGGTGTATGTAAAGTTGAGGAACCAATGTGGGAAATTGATAAACCTGCACCACCTCCAGCAGTTTGAATTGTCTCATTGGAAGGAAATGGAGAGGCCAACGACAACTGATTAAGATCAGCAGTCATGTGAGATGTAGCCCCAGAATCTGTAAGCCACACTTGTTGAGAATTAGCACTCGGAACAGAGGACGGACCAGCAACATGCATAGCTGACACTTGCTGAGATTGGAGATTGGCATTTCGAAAATGACAGAAATGAGCACTGTGATTCTTTTTGCCACATATTTGACAAGCCTCTGTAATAGAATTCTCAGTATTTCGAAACCGACAAGTAACAGCTAGATGTCCAAATTTGCCACAAATTTGACAAGAAGACTGAAAAAACCCTTGTGCCGTTGGTGGAGAGGAACCAAGAATACCAGGGGCATTGTTATGAAAAGAACCAGACTTGGCATTACCAAACCGGGAGTTGTATTGATACTTGCCTTTACCCTTGTTCCTGTGGTAAGGAGGCTTGGAACCAGACCCATTGTACTGATAAAAACTTCCTTGAGACCCATACGAACCACCATTGGATGAAGGACCAGTGTTGGAGTAATTATCATGAGGTGAATTGGCCTCGAATTGAGAAGACTTAGACGAAACAGACATATTGCTAGCTA